TACTACACTTCTCTAACAAAACCAACAAGGGCACACCTCCTAGTAGTGCCACTCTTTATGGGCCTTTACTCAAACCACCACACCTACACTGCTCATAATTGAGTTCTTCTATATTGTGTTTTTTTGTTTTTCTTTTTGTCTTAGCAGGAGTTGCCCAAGGTATAGTGGGCCATGACCTGCTTTGTGTAGGTGGCATGCCCTTTTATTTTGTGATGCTAGGAATGGAATCTACAGTCTTTAGCTACACCTCCAGCTCAGGCACCACTCACCATGTTGGAACAGCCCAGGAATCTGTATCACTTTGGACCTTCCTTTTTGGGCATCTTTGTAGTTTCCTTTTTTTTCTTTTAACTGCTTCCATCTATGTTCTTTTAATTGAACTATGCTTAATTCTTTATTCTAGACCTCAACATCCCTTTCTTCAGAGGAAAAGGGTAAAAAGGCCAAGAAGAAAACCAGAAGGCGCAGAGCCAAGGGAGAAGGGAAGCGGCAGTCAGAGGATGAGTGCTTCCGCTGTGGTGATGGTGGACAGCTGGTGCTGTGTGACCGAAAATTCTGCACCAAGGCTTACCACCTGTCCTGCCTGGGCTTGGGCAAGCGGCCCTTTGGTAGGTGCTCAGTACCCATGCAGCTTCTGACAACTTGCAGTGCACTTGCCTGCCATTCAGCCTCTCTTAATCCATTGGGTCTTATCTAGCTGCATATTCCTTGGAAGGTCAATGTGGGTAAATGTCCCCAGTCCAGGAAACCAACTGGAGCACAGGGTGGGAGCAGGCAGTAGCTTCCAAAGCCCAGTGTTGACTGGTCATCTCATTAGTGCCAAGATCTAAAATGACATGCACGAGGTTCTACTGAAGAATATAAGTTCTACTGCAGCAGCCTCACCATGACTGGTTTTGTCACTAGGCGGCCTGGTTGTAGGACATGTGACCTCTCTCTCTTCTCAGGACTTGAAGGCTCTGTCCCTAGAGATGACACAGAACTGGAAGACAATAGGCTTTTCCTCTTACATACTTAAGAGTGGTCATAGCATCAGAACAAAAAGTTAGAATTTCAAAAGAAAAACTGTAAACACTTGACCCAGGGACAAGAAACCTAATAATAGTTTTACATATGTATTTAAATTTGACAGTTATCCCTAACCCTAATCTTCAGAGATTCACATCTAAGCATAAAACCATTTCCTTATAAATAGGCAAGTCCCAAGCTGGGTATGATGATGCACACCTTTAATCCCAGCACTCAGGCATTGGCGGGTGGACTTCTTGAGTTTGAGGCCAGCCTGGTGTACGGAATACGTTCCAGGACAGCTAGGGTTACATAGAAAAACCCTGTCTCAGAAAACAAAACAGTAATACAAAAGGGCAAGTCAGAGGGCAGCTGTTGCTATCAGTAGACTCTGCTAGGGACCAACAGCAGCGAGCTGCCCTTGGTGTCTTATGTAATGTCCAGCTGGCCTGTAAGTATACTGTAGTCTGCAACACTTGGTACCTACCTGGCCTTTGAGCATCAACTACTAGCTTCTCTCTGGCAACTGAAATGCAGTCTCTTGTGTTAATTTGCATTTATGTGACTAGCCCGTCTTACTTATTCGAGGCAGGGTTTCCGTGTACTTTTGGACCCTATCCTGGAAAGCTCTTATAGACCAGGCTGGCCTTGAACTCACAGACATCTGCCTGCTTCTGCTTCCTACGTGCTTAGATTAAAGGCATGCACCACCATTGCCTGGCTGACTAGCCAGTTTTAAAAGTAATTCTAGTTAGGTATGTTGGTACAAGCAACTCAAGCAGAAGATGACTAAGTCAAGGGAAACATACTTTGTGGATATTAACTTAGTACAAGACCACATGCTTGAGTTCCTTCTGGGCCCAATCCCACCCAACACTTTTCAAGCCCTGAAAATGTTAAAGCTTGTTTGCTAATGGTGTATTTTGTTTTGCAGGGAAGTGGGAATGTCCTTGGCATCACTGTGATGTATGTGGCAAACCTTCTACCTCATTTTGCCACCTGTGCCCCAACTCATTCTGTAAGGAACACCAAGACGGGACTGCCTTCCGTTCCACCCAGGATGGGCAATCCTACTGCTCTGAGCATGACTTGAGGGCAGAATCTGCAAGAAGTACCAAGACTGAGAAACCGTTTCCAGAATCACTGAAGTCAAAGGGGAAGAGGAAGAGAAGACGGTGTTGGCGAAGAGTCACAGAAGGCAAATAGCGCTTGGTCAGATCCAGGGGAGGCATGGGATAGCCAACCCTGCTTGTAATGGGAAGGCAAGCACGGCACTTGCCCCAAGGACCCAGCTCATAATGCTATGACATATATAGGCCTCCTTGGGTGGGAAGGAGCACCTTCTACCACTGAGCCATCCTCAGCAGCTGTGCTGCGTCTGCACTGATGCTTGTCAGCTGCACACTCAGCGGTCCAGGACAAACAAGCCTTACTACGCAGCATCACCGCTACACTTGAATCTGAGACCCAACGTCAAGGTGCCCTCCCATTTTTATTTTAGATTAAAGTTATGATTGAAGATTAACTGGCATGTGAAATGCTTTTATCTTACCCAAAACATATAGAATAGAATTTTCTAAAGGTCACTATTAGCTCTATCCTGACGGTTCAGGCTTCTACTCACATACCCCACTCAGGACAGACTAGGACTCAGGCCCTGTGCTACTTCCTAATCAGGATTGATCATTATTTTACTCTTTTGAAACAGCCTATGTTCTTCATACTAATGTGAATTTTTCCCTCAAAGTGCTGTTTGCACTTTGAGTGGTTGTGGTGTTGCAAGATTCCTCTCATGACTTTTCTTTGTGTGGACTTGACAACTAGTGATGGCAGTGTGTCCTGTGGAGCAGTGCAGTTGCCTTCGTTGTGGCTGTTTTCTCTAATGTCTTCTGAACCCACATTCTTGGACCAACATTTGGGGGAAAACCTTGTATATTTTCTTCAATTGGTTTTTCTGTTTCTGGCATTTATTCCCAATATACTTTTGCTAAAATTGTTTCATATTATTACCAGCTAAAATGTATTTGTCAGACAGATGTGAAGTATTGAGCGAGCACGGAGGACACAAGGCACACAGCCTGGAGCCTAGGCTAATGCTTGCTGATGTGCTCTCCTCTGTATGTCTGTTCGCTGGGCCCAAGCTTCCTTGCTCTCTCTTTCCACCAGGGCACCACATGGTCTCATGGTAGACAGGTCTGATGGTACCTGTTTCCCTAATGATATTTAAATTTCTCTAAAAGCCCAGCCCAAGGGCTATTAGATTCTTTGGCAGGCTTCCTTCTGTCTTCTCAGGAGTATATCTTGGCCCTGGAGAACTTGGACACTGAGAAAGGAGACCTCATGCATTCCATTGGGAGGGAAGGTGTAAGCAATGCAGCAGAAATTGGTTTTAGAAAAGCCACAAAGCAAAAAAGCTTAAACTCCTATCCATTAAGTCCCTAGCAGGGTTTGCTACTGTTGTCCTGCTGCCTTCCTTGGAGAACTGCAATCGCCATTTAGAACAGGATTGACCATTCTTAATAGTCAGGGTTGTGTGTCAGCCATGACACTTGCAAGCCTAGCATGTCATGACCACCCCTTTGCCCTTCTCTAGTAGTAGTCCCCCAAAAGTTAAAGCAGCTTTGCAGGCAGCCTATGGCTTGGCTTCCACAGGCACAAGCCTAGTAACCTCTGGTGACATCTGTTTGAGCAGATGAGACAAGGAACATTTTTCAGTTTAGAACTTAACCTGGCTCAGACTGTCCTAAAAATATTAGATTGGCTCATAAATTTGTCATCTGTGCCCTACGTTTAGAAGGCTGGTGTGATAGGCCAGACAGCCTCTTCACATGCACACAGCCCCTAGGCTCCAGGGACCCCCTGGGGGCCCATCTTGTTAGTTGTCCACCAGCTTCTACAAAAGAGCATCAGAATTGGTTTTGCAGCACATTGTGGGGGATCAGATTAACTTTCTTTTTTAATGTTAAGTAAATCTTGGGAATTTTGGTTCCAAGTAACTATTTATCATCTTTCTGAAGGAAATATTGTGAACTTTTTAAACAACTTATCTTCCCAAAAAGTATTAATGAGTAAATAACACTAACTCTGAAAACCAACCGAAGACCAATATACAAAGCTGAGTAAAGTAACCCCCTGGGGTGATAGCCTTTCCCACAGAAGGACCAGCCACAGGGCCAGCTGTGACTCAGGATGTGCCAGGTGCTCTGATGAGCCTGAAAGATGTGTGACTTTCTGACCATCAGTTCCAGTTGTTTTCTTTAATGTGAAGCAAACCAAATGAAACCTGCCCAGATTCCATGTTCCTCAGGCACCTTCAGTATCCAAAAACCAGCTAGCTGTTCCCTAACCAGTACACACCTATGTGTGTGTGTGCCTCTGCAGGGTGGCAGCAGCCCAGGGGTGCAAAGCCAGTGTCCACACCAGCATTGGTCTAAGAGAATGTGGAACTATAGCATTTAAACCTAAGCACCTGTAAGGCAGTGTATCTCAGAGTGACAAGGATTCCAGTGCTAGCTCCTGAGGAATTTCCTGGCACTAGCACCTAGGACTCCTGGGTCCCAGGCAGGCACACTCAGGTTGGCATTTCTGATGATTTCCAAGTGATACCTGTAGCACGATGTGTGAAGTGCCCATCTTCCAGAGCTACCTTATTTTCAAGAATTAAAGATAAAAATGTTTTGATTAAAGTTAATGCAAACAACTGTCAGTTGCCAAATATCTCTTGTCTACAAAAGAGTGTAGCTGATGACTGTTAGTCAGTAGAATAAACGCTGTGTCCATATGTATCATGGTGCCCCCATATCCTGTTGAGATGTGAAATGACCTATCAGAAATTAAATTTAAGTTTAAATGTGCCTATTGGTGTCTAAACTTCATACAATATAAAGTCAGGTTCCTTTTAGGAATGCTGGGTACTGTCACCAGATCTGATAGTGAAGGCTTAAAAACTTGAAGTTTGGGAGGGAGGGGGGAAGTAATATTGAAATATAGACAAGAATTACCAGTTGGGGGAAAATAGCATTTAAAGTGGAAAGTTGTGTTTGGAAAACTGTATTAAGTATTTTTTTATTAAAAAACTTTAAAGGCCTTTTTCTCATACTTCTTTTATACGGGACTGTGTTTGACTCCTCCAGCTTCCTGTGTGCTATGAATTCAAGGCAGTAGGTTTTGGCCCATTTCTCAGTGCTGTTGCTGCCTCACTCTACCCCCAAGGCTGCCTTGCCCATTACCTACCTGGTTTTTTTGTTGTTGTTGTTTTTCTTGTTTGTTTGTTTGTTTGTTTTTTCCCAGGTAGTCTTGTTATCTCCCAGCCCTGCTTCTTCTCCCCTGGGATTCTGACAGTTGTATAGGAAGGGGTTTGGTTTCAGAGCAGGGAGTCAAGCTAGCTTGAAACATAGCTCTGTGGGCTTTCTTTAGAAAAACTAAACTTTAATACTCATATAATTTTACAATGAAAATAGGTACGAGACAGGTTTGAAATGTTTACAACTGTACAAAAGACATATACAAATCCCTGGCAGGCAGTGGCATTGAGGCTGGTTATAGCCCCCCTCACACCATAGCCTGTCGGGTGTCACCTTTGGTCCCCTCAGCCTTGTGAGGGAAGGCATGCACAAGCAGAGAAAGTCCTCTCAGCCAGTGCAAGTTTTTAAAGAAAAAATAAAAAAGGTAAAAGTCTAGCAGGCACTAAAATGAAGTTGTAACTTTTTTGGTTTAGCATTTAAAGTGTAATATTGAATCAAAAAAAATGTATCTTAAGCACACAAAAAACCCATTATTAAAAAAAAAAAAAGCCTAAACTCCCCAGAGAAATGACCTAAAACTTAAAACAGCTTGGGGCCCAGTAGACTGTGGATGGCAGGTATTGGGGTGGAACACATCCTTCGGTATCTGCTCAGGTCACTTAGCATAGCCAGCAAAGCTTGTCTTCTGGCCTGATGCAGGTCAGCAGCAGAAATGGCACTTAGGACACATTGGTCATGGGCTTGTACTTCTTGAAGCGTGTCCACTGGCCTGTGGCGTAGTTCATCTCGAACACTGTGTCCACTAGCATGGTGGTACTGCCCTGGCCGTCTGCCTTGGGCAGATCCTCTGTGTGCTCGCTGAGCTTGATCTGGATCACATCCCCCTGCTCCGGGCATGGGTTCTCTGTAGGGAGCAGGAGCTGCTGGACTGGTGCCTGGGGCCAAGGAACCCATCCCCCACCCCATGGGGGGCACCTCCCCAGGCTAGTAGCACAGACGCACCTCGAGAGCCAGCCATGAAGCCCAGGATGAGGGCCTTCTCTGGCCGAGTGACCTTGTTTGCTGTCTTGAACATCTCCTGGGCAGCAAACATCTGTTCTCTCTGTAAAGAAAGGATGTGGGTGTGGGGGCTGCTGGGCCCACCCACTGGCCCTGCCAGGCTCATCCCATAACAACAGTCCCCACCCCCTGCTGCAAACAGGCAAAGCTACACAGCCATCCACGTAATGGCTATGAAACCTGACAGGGTACTTACCGTGAGAGACAGGTTCTTCTTAGGTTGCTGCTGAACAGGGGCAGGGGCAGGGGCAGGTGCCTGGGTCTGTGGGGCCACCATGGCCACTGGGGGTGTCTGAGAAGTGGGGGTGGCAGCTGGGGGGGTAGTAGGTGTCAGAGGCGAGGTAGGTGTTGCAGGTGTTGGCGTAGCTGGGCTCAGGCCACTGTTATACATAGGTGCTCTTTGTTTAAATTGAGCTGGCAGTGTAGGACTTGGAGCATTGGGCTCCTCAGGGGGTCGGCTGGCTTCCCGGGATGGAGGGGCTGCAGGCAGAGCAGATTTACTAAGGAGAGTTATTCAGGAAAAGGAGTATACCTCATCCCAGTCTCCAGGCTGTCTGCTCCAGACATCATATTCTGGAGACAATAGGCTCAACTCAAATCTTCCAGGTTCTGACAGCAACTGTGTCCCATACCGGCCTGCTCTGTCTTGCTCCAATCACTGCTGACCAGAAACCCTTGCTGGTCATCGCAGCTAGGGACATGTGCCTTGTGCACTACTACCCAGCAGGGCAGAACCTACGTCCTCAGGCATTTATAGATCCAGAGATAAAGTTATCCAGGACTCTGGTTAGCTCCTGACCTATGACGAGTTCCCTATAAACTGGGTGCTGGTTACAAGGCACCGGAAAGCAATTCCCCCAAGCCTAGCACTCTTTTTGCTCAGCAGGGTTTCTTAGATGACCCTCAACCTACTAATGAATAGACTAAGCTGAGCCCAATGGAACCAGCCTCCCTCTCCCGTGAACAGCTGACTAACCAAAGCTTGTGTCTGACCCTGAAGGAATTATCCCCTCTGCAGTATCCTTCATCAGGGAAGAAACAATCCTCATGACCCCACCCATCCAGAGATCAAGGTGCCAAAAGTGGCAGTTTTGGCAGCCACTCATGCACTCAAAACAGGACTTAGGGCGTATTTCTTGGCCAGGAGGAGTTCCCTCCACGCTGCCTGAGAGCAAGAGCCAATGAGACAGGTGCCTTAATGCTGAGCAGCACCACGTGTGCAAGGCTACTTCCTAGGTGTGCATGCTAGGGCAAGCCCTTGTGTGGGCTTAGCATACTGCAGGCTACTCACCTGGGGGAGTCTCAGAGCTGGGGATGTATGATGAGGCAGGTACCACACTGGGGGTAGAGGGCAGATAACTTGTGGAGGGAAGTGCTGGCTCACTATTCAAAGACCCAAGTTTCTGGAAGACAGAGGCCATGATCCCTTCAGGCAGATCTCAGGGTTTTAATTTACCTCCCAGACAGCCTCCATCAGCCCTTGCCCATCAATGGAGCAGGACGACTCATATCCCCAGGACAGGGACAGTGGCTTCTCCAGGCCATAGGTCCCTGGTTTTAATGATGCTGGACTCCAAACTTAAGCCATGGCTACTACCCCATGGTCCCAAACTGATACCTGGAGAAATAAGTTCAGCAATGCAGTGACCTCAGAGGCAGAGACCATACCATGCAACAGGGCCACACTGCCTCTACACATGCAACCTCTGTACCTATGGCTCTGAAAACCTATTTCTATTTCCACAGACAGCCTCGGGGGAAGAGCTGTGCTGGCTGACTCACCTACATACAAGACCTGGTGTCCAGGGCACTGGGGACTATACCCACAGGACAGAGAGGAAAATGAGGCACAGAGGTATGAAGACAGCCCAGGCAGTAATTTCAGTATAAAGCAGGTATTCATTCCAAACACGTGGCTGATGCCCAAGTTAGGCTCTGGCTCCCTTTGCCACTCACATACACATACATACATACCTGCATCCATGTACACTTTTACAGAACACAGCTTAGCGGCTAGCAATCAGGACAAGGTGGAGTATATTATTTTGACAGTTGAAAGTGTCCATGGCTGCACTGCATGGAAGCCCTACCTGTGTGGACACCAGGCCAGCAGCATAGTCAGGAGTGGCATTTTCAACAACTGTCTCTTCCTTGGTGGGCTTTTCCACCACTTCTGTGTCTACCAATAATAAAGAGAGTTGGTTAGTGACCCAGCTCCAGTTCAGAGGTCACAAGTGTCCCCTGGTCTCTGCAGAGAATAAATGTAATCCTAACACTTGGAAAATTACAAGCTTGAGGCCAGCCTGGACTACAGTGTAAGACCTTGTCTCAAAAGCCATTCCCTCTCTCCACCCCCACCCCCCACCCCCACAAAGAAAAAGGACTCCTGGGAAAAGTCCCATTACCACTGTGGTAAGATAAAGCACTCAGGCATATTGGACCCAGAAGGAAACCCCAAAGCACCAAGATACTACTCAGGCAGAACCAAGCATAGCGCACTAGGCTACAGTGCTCTAACCTCCCTCCAGACTTGAAATGCCCCCGTACACACCTAAAGTCTTCCTCCTCCTCTTTGCCTCTCGGCCAGCACCGACCGTATTCAACTCAGAAATATCCAGTAGCTGCCAAAACAAGTACATTCCATACTTAATTATAGAGCGAAGAATCAGGATTTGGCCTTGCCAGTGATGAAAAGGGATGTCCCACCTTCACACCCCTTTCTTTCTGCAGTGGTGTCCTCGAAGGTGGTATTGGGGTCCGGTTCCCAGAGGGACTGAAGACGCTGGGTGTGGTGGGACTTCTGAAGGGGGCTTGCTTTGGGATGCCTTTGAGAGGGGCTACAGAAAAGACTGATGTCAACGGAAAGAGCAACTTTTGAGCACAGGTGGTTAAACAAGGCTGCTTCTGCCTTGGGGAAAGCATACAAATTAGTCTCGCCTATCACATTTTGTGTTTTGTATATTTCATCCCAGGCTAAACAGAACTTGAGGCTGGGCCAAGGGTGGTGGCACATGCCTTTAATTCCTAGCACTCAAGAGGCAGAGGCAGGCATATTTCTGAGTTCAAGGCCAGCCTGGTCCACAGAGTGAGTTTCAGAACAGCTCAAGCTACACAGAAAAACCCTGTCTCGAAAAAACAAAACAAACAAACCAAACTTGGGGCTGGAGCAATGGCTCAGTGGTTAAAAGCATTCTCCTAGAGGTTCAACTCCCAGCCCCACTGCCAGCTCCAGTCCCAGGGTATCTGGTGCACCCTTCTGGTCTCCAACAGCACTGCATACAGGTGCAGACATATCCAGACAAAGCACCCATACAAATACAATAAAATAATTTTTAGAAAACCAATTAAACAACCCACTCAGACTGTTTTTGCCATGGTCACTGGTTCAGACCCTACAAACCTAACGACATCTCTGAAGGTCTGCTGGGAAGACCCAGGCTTGAAACTCTGGAAGTTCATGACTCATACATATCCTTTCTGGGAAGGCTGGAGTAATGGAAGATAACAGCTGTCTATGACACCAGAGACCTCCAGACCTTCTAGGACAAGAACTATCCAGCTATCATCTCTGCCCAGAAAAGTGACGACACCTATGTATACCTATATACATTTGTCATCACCTAGGAAGCCTTGTGCTACAAGCTGGTTGTCAAAAATGGACATATAGTGATCGTCAGACTTCCCCTTTAAAGAAAAGTTTCTGCAGTGCCTGTCCTCAGGGACAAGGAAAGCAAGGTGGAGCCTATGCTGTGGCAACAAACGGCAGCAAGGGAAGAGCCCTGCCCTGCAGTAATAATGGCAGAATGGTGACCCATACTATAGACTCTCCATTACTAGCTCTATGTCTGCTTTGGGTTATGGGAACTTGGTATGCCAAGACACCAGATGAACCTCATTCTACAGCTGTCCTGACTGCTGGGCGCTGGACATGGTTCGAGGAGTCTGCAAAGCAGACATTCATACAGGCACATGCATGAAGAGCCAAACTGCTGTGTGACCCTCCATCTTGGAAACTTGCCCTGAGCGCTTAGCCTAGCCAGCCAGCTGTTACACCTGTTACACCCAGGAAGGCAGCTACAAGTGACAGAGCAGCAGCAAATGTTCCTCCAGCTGGGCTGCTGCTGGCTCACCACACACGGCCACCTCCCTCAGGACTCATGTCTGACTCATACCTTTCCCATCAAGTCACCCTGCCTGGCAGGCAACCACAGCACTGGCCTCAGAACACACACGAAGCCTTACTTGTCGTGTCCATCTTGCGGAGCAGCCCCCGGCCCTTAGCGTGGAACGGCACCCCGGCACTTCTCTTCAGCTGCTGGGCTGTCTCAGTGGCTGTGTACAAAAAGCCACAGGGTCAAGGGTCTCTTAGATCATAGGGCCTCTCAGCCCATAAAGTAACCTCAACAAAAGTGATTCATAAAAATACCCAAGGTAACTTCTTTGTATAACCCAGCAGGAATGCAGTCAGTAATGCCACTGACCTTACAGTGATTATTCCTTTAAAAAAAAAAAAGGAGGAAGGAAGGAAGGATATTTCCTGGTGATTTGTAAAAAAGAAGGAAGGAAGAAAGGATATTTCCTGGTGATTTGTAAAAAAGGAGGAAGGGAGGAAGGAAGGAAGGAAGGATATTTCCTGGTGATTTGTAACACAAATCATTACCTACCTACTCAGATAATCTAACATTAAGTGAAGAATTAGTGGAAATTTTTTGCTACTAAGAGCTTCTAAGAAGTCTATTTTTCACTGGGCATGGTGGCACACACCTTTAATCCCAGCACTCAGGAGGCAGAGGCAGGCGGATCTGAGTTTGAGACCAGCCTGGTCTACAGAACAAGTTCTGGGCAGTCAAGGCTACCTATTCAGAGAAACCCTGGCTCAAAAATACAACAACAACAACAAAATTATTTTTCTTTTATTTTCATCACCGTTCCCAGGGTAGCAAGATGAAACAGAATGGAGATTGGTGACAGGAGACGTGGGCTACAGCATGTGTGGGCTTTGGTTTCCTTGGCGGGAAAGAAGGAAGTGGCCAACTGCTCACCGCATGGCTTCTGGGGTGCCAAGTCTCACCCTGGGTGCCTGTTTCTAGGTGTTTCTGAGGATACACTGATGGGGCAACAGTTAGTTAAGACCAACTTAATTTCCACTACATCTCCTCCAAAAGGGAGAGCACCGCACTCGCTGAGGCCTTCCCTTTGCTCTGGTAAACAAAGCTTGTTTTGGGACAGATCCTGGCAGCAACAGATGGACAGAAAACAGAAAAGTCTTTCCCCTGGGATGGCCCTGACTTGGCTGCCTGTCTTCATCTGTGGACTCTCAGACCCCTGCCCAACTCTGCTCCATTCACCAGGGACTCTTGTGGTCATGGAAGGACTAACACCAGGGCTAGTATAGCAGGCGTGTTTTCTCTTCTTGTGTCCCTTAACAGAAAATATTAAATTTCCCTCTTAACTGCACTGGCTTTCTAAAGTGATGACCTAAGCCAAGAAAATACCACTGACGGGGCACTTGAGATCGCAGCAAGATAGATTCTTCCATTAATACAGAGTGAAGCCAACTGTGAAAGAGCTGAATGTTAAAGAAAAGGAATTGATCAGAGCCGTAATAAAACAATATCAAACAATAAACCCGTCAGTTGTAAGCATATGTGTCTAAACCTCCCCAGTTCATGGAGTAGCTTGACACAAGCTTAAATGCAGCTGAGACTGTGTTCGGAAATTTGCATTTAAGTGGCTGCAGAAACATCACAGCCACCTGTTGCACCCCAAGAAACCTGGAGCCTGAGAGAGGCTGGTATCTCTCACAGGTCCCGCAGCCATCTTTACAGCAGGCCCAGGCCTCACAGAGTTCTACATAAGTCTGAGAAAGAAACAGATTATCCTCCAGTGGCTCGGGAAAGCTGCAGGGTTAGACCAAAGGCAGTGGCCGTGCTGCTGACTGTCGACAGCAGAGACCTTTCAGAGCAGCTCAGTTGGCCTGCCCCACAGCTACCAGGCAGCACAGACCGGAGCCAACTGACACAGCCGGCTCCAGGCTCTTCTCAGATTTCTCCAAACCATATTTGCTGGGCTTGGTGTAGCTCTGTGATCCCAACACTCTAGGAGGCTGAGGCAGGAGAAGGTAGAACTCAAGCCAGCTTAGGCTACCCAGTGAGACTGTATTCCCAAAACAAAACAAAAAAACAGAGCTATTTACAAACCTTAGTAAATGTTAACTGCACATTTATGACCCGGGCGGTGGTGGCACACACCTTGAATCCCAGCACTCAGGAGGCAGAGGCAGGTAGATATCAGTGAATCTGAGGCCAGCCTGGCCTACAAAGTAAGTTTCAGGACAGCCAAGGCTACAGTTTATGGAAATTTATGTTTTTTATTTTTAATCCTTTTCGTTTGGCTTTTGTTTGTATTGTTTTGCTAAAATGAGGTTTTGAGCTGGGTATGGTGGCCTACACCTTTAATTCCAGCACTCAGGAGGCAGAAGCAGATCTCTTGAGTTCAAGGCCAGGCTGGTCTATAGAGCTAGTTCCAGGACAGCCAGAGCTATAAAAGAGAAACCCTGTCACAGTCTGAGCTCAAGTGATCTTTCTGCCTCAGTATCTCAAAAAGCTGTGACCCAGGTACTCAATACACCTGGCTTAAAACCCATACTTTAATGTTATTTAGCTAAAGGACACTTTCTCCAGCAAGTAAGTGCCTTCTACACAAACCGTTGTAAGACATGATTTAGGAAAGCACTTAATGAAATCCTTCAACCTCTTCTATAATAGACACCAGGTCAGGACACAAGCAGCAGTCTCGCATCCCGTCTTGGCCAGCAGATTCTACTTTGTGAGATTACAGGCACCACACTTAAAAACCCTGAGGTCTTGAATGCGTGTTTCTAAACAACAGTGATCTAACACAGAAAAGACAAGCTACGCTCTTTCAGGATAGCACAGAGAAAGAGCAGGACTGTAACCCAGGTACTCACACTTCTGTAGCAGCTCTGCCCGCAGAGTGGCACTCTTGGGCTTCCGCTTCAACTGGAAATGTTTCACTGGTGGGGTGAGAGGCCCGGCAAGGGTGGTCAGGGCATTCTTGTTCAGGTACTGGCACTCCAGTGGTAGCATGGCAGACGCCTCACACTCACCCACTGTGGAAAGCCAGAGTGTCACAGGAAGTCAGAGCCCTTGCACCAGGGAGCTCAGGCTGTTTGTGACCCTCACAGCTCACATGCCAACGGCTCCATGTAGGTTTCATTTTATAGGCATGGCAGCTTTCTGCTTTGGTTTCAACCCCCTGTGGTTCCCACCATTCCAGTCCCACCATTTCTAGAACCCAAGATCATCCAAGTGGGTCAGGAACAAATGATAGGCCTGCCACCCTAGAGGGAGGCTCATCAGACTCTCCAGGGACGTTTTAAAAACAAGAAATGCTAGCCGACAAGGGTTCCTCAGTTATGTCAACTACAAGCCTGGGACTGCAGGGCTGCAGGAGCCACAGCACACTGTGTATAGCGGCATGGAGAGCAGTGCCCTGTCCTAACGACAGGGCAGCCTCAACACCAGGAAAGCCCCCCTCCTTTGACTACAGAGCACCAGTGGTTGGTCACCCTAGACACTGCTCAACTACCGTCTTAAAAACTACCCATGTGTGCCCCTGATTCAGTGTGCTCACCAAGAGGTCAGAGCCTGAAAAACCCCAAAGAGTTGCCCCAGTCAGTTACATCACAAGAGAAGCAGATTCAGAAGTTGCTTCATCCTTCTGCTCCCAGGAGAGTCAGCTACCCCAGCAACGGGGATGTGTGACCTGTGCAGGCCAGTGTTCCTAGACTGCAAATAAAAATCAAAACCCCAAAACGTACGAGGGCCTCACAAGCGTGTGTAGACTCAAGCCTTTATTTTCCCAAGAAGGAGAATGCACCAGAGGTGTGGAGACTCCTACTGTCGCTTCTCTAAAAACACCTCAGATTCTAGCAGCTTATTTGTTGATTTTTATTTATGATTCCATATTTGTTATGTAGGACAGAGAATGTTTTAGGTTCTGAAGACATTAACTTGCAGCGTTCAACCCTCATGGAGCTTACGGAGAGACAGCAAGTACACCAGGGATGAGTCATCTGAAGGCAGCCGTAGCATGCAGTGGAAACAGGGCTGTGAAGTCAGACTGCAGCATGAGGAAGGAGAGCCCCTGTCTGAGGAGCCACTGCACGCCACACCTACAGTGTGATATGGACAACCCAATTTCTAAAGTGAGACCCACTTCTTCCCATTGTAAAATAAAGCCAGACTACTTGCCTTTTTCTCTAAGTTCTCCTAGGATGTCTTGAACATTGGGGTTCTGCTCCTCAAGGTCTAGATTCAGTGAGCCCGTGTCAGGAAAGGATTTCAGAATGTCAGCAACCATAAGGACCCAGGGGTCTGAGTCCAGGGTGGCCAGTTGGATAATATCCATCAGAGCGCCCTTCATCTGCCAAGACAGAAGATGCCAATTACATTCTATAAAAGTTACCAGCCCCGCTTACCCTCCTGGAACAGCAACAGCTTCAAATGCCTCCTGCCACGAATCTACCCACTTTCACACTGTGGCCTCTGGGTGGCCTGTGACAGTAATCACTGTGACAACCTGTTGTGGAATATGACTTTAACTGTGTAACTGTGTTACTTCTGTATATGCTGCATTTGTTTAATGATGTAAAGATGTGTTGCTATTTCACTTCGGCTAAGGCACCTGATTGATCTGAAAAGCTGAGCAGCCAATAGCTAGGCAGAAGAGGGATAGGTGGGACTGGCAAGCAGAGAGAATAAGAGGAGGAATCTAGGCTCAGGAGAAAAGGAGAAGAGAGAAGAGAACAAGGGAGAAAGAGAAGGATGCATCAGCTAGCCAGACATGGGATAACCAGGGAAGTAGGACATGCACAAGAAAGGCAAAAACCCCTTTGAGCACCCTTCAGCCCCCCCCCCTTCCTGAAGTCTGCAGTGGGAGCCTCCAGGCCTCTGAGGGGGCCAGTTTCCTGGTTGGGTGCTGAGAATTTTAACCCTAATGTTCACCGTTTTTTGAATAAAAGTTTTGTTCTTTTTGGCAAAAAAAGAAAAAAAAAGGTAAAAAACCCTAAGGCAAGACATAGATGAAGAGAAACAGGTTAACTGAAGTTGTAAGAGCTAGTGGGACAAGCATAAGATAAGGCTGAGTATTCATAATAAGTCTCTGGGTCATGATTTAGGAGCTGGTTGGTGGCCCCAAAGCCTGTTACACTTAGTGTTCCAACATGGGGCCCAAATTTCCACACAGGGCCTGAGAAAGCTGAAGAGAGAGGGGGGGGGGGAGGAGAGAAGAAAAAGAGGATACGGCTCCTTTAAGAGGCTCTGCAGAACCAACAAGCTAAGTAAAATCACATGCCACAGTCCCAGGAACCAACACCCCAGGGTTGGGGTGGCTGGCTGTAATGGACCTGAGGAAGGAGCAGAGCCAGTCACCAGGGCAACACAGCAGTAGCTTAAGGTTTGGTATACAGTCAGATGGAAGAAAAACCTCTAAATCGGTTACAGTGTGTTTAAGTGTGCAAAATGGATCAGAAGTTAAGAGCACTGACTGTTGTTCTACTAGAGGTCCGAGTTCAATTCCCAACACCCACATGGTGGCTCACAACCATCTGTAATGAGGTCTGGTGCCCTCTTCTGACCTGCAGCCAGGACACTGTATACATAATAACTAAATCTTTAAAATAATAATAAAGTCTTTAAACAGAGAGTAAAGTAACTAACAGGCACATAAAAGTGGGAAATAGAGTCTGGTTCCTATGATGTTGACTGACTTTTTTGAATGCTGCTGAGTGAACCACAGATGCTGAGTCAAGGGATTGTGAAAGGGACTGCTGAATTAAAACGGCCTAGATATGCTGTAGGATCCCCTCTGTGCTGTGAGGATGTTTAATACCATTAGCTAATAAAGAGCCTTTGGCCTACAGCAAAGCAGAACAGAGCCAGGTGGGAAATCCAATCAGAGATACAGGGAGAAGTACGGAGTCCGACAGGTGTACTAGAGAACAGGTAATGATGAAGCCACATGACAAAATAAAGATTAACAGGAATGGGTTAACAACATGCAAGAGTTAGTAAGCAGTAAGTGTGAAAATATGCAAAAAGGTTTGTAATATACCTCTGAGTGACTCTTAAAAGTAGCTGCAGGACCAGGCAGGACAGAAAAGCATGTTTACAAGATACTTTAGGGATACCTTAACTTTAAAATGGAATTCAGAAAATGTATTGTGTTGGGGAAGACATTATGCTTTTGTTTTCATGAGAAATAAAAGGCTGTGGATTCCTTCAAGATTAATAGAGATCAGGTTTGGTCTGGGTAGGCCTCCTGAAAATTTTGGCTACAGACATAAAGAAGTAAATCAAGAAAAAACACATGACAGGTGACATATATGCTGAACAGTTCTAAGACTGGACAACAAAAGTTACAGCTACATTCCCCAGGAGTTGACCTTTACCTCAATTTCCTCAGGGTCCCCTGTAGATCTCACCATCCTCAGACAAAAGGAAGCAGTCAAGAGAACACAACACCCACATTCCCAATAGGTAGGGTGGGTGATCTTTGGTCGTTTAGTGGGTTATGGATGTTTGTCATTGTGTAGGGGGGTTAGAGGAATACAGGGTAAAAAGACAACTATTAACCTCAAATATTTTACATTGGTATGAATTTTGGTATAGTAATACAAATTTTAAAATATTTTGTTATGCTGTATGCATGTTACTACTTTTGTTTAGGGTATTGTGTTTATGCCACTGATGTGAATATGTGATGTACAGTTAAAAAAGGCAGGTTAGCAGTTAGTCATTTATAAGAATCAAACTTGTAGTCATGTTAGGCATGTTTCAAGGTCAAATATATATTTTTAGATAAGTGATGTTCAAACATTTCAGAGATTTATGGAATATGGCATCTAAGACGTTTATAGCCTAAGGCTTTTCATGACAGCAAAATACATCTGTTCTAGCAGCCCCACTTTACTTCAGAAAAGGATGATGGGCAACAAAGAACCTCCATATGGAGTTCGCTTTCATTGTGGCAAAGTTAGCCTCTAGGCAAGAAACTGGCTTGCCTCAACTGCTGACAGTATGCTGTAAAAACTGGACAAGTAGGACATACAGGAAATGACTGCTAAACTTTGCCAAGACAAGGTAGGTCAGTCCTTCAAATTTCTTGTTGCACAGAAAAGTCTGTCAGATATTCTAAGCCTATTGACCGAGGATGAACTCCCCAACACTGCAGAGGAATCCAGGCAGCCAGATGTTTGTCATTTCTATAGTCTTAGAAATAAGTGCCTTGCTGTTGTGGATTATTTTAACTATATAAAGATGTGTTGCGTTTGTTTATGCTGAGGAATATTTTAACTGTGAAAAGGTGTGTTACACTTGTTTACACTGCCTTTGTTAACAATGAAAAGATGTGTTACATTCATTTATGCTGTATTTGTTTAACTATGTAAAGATGTGTTACATTTGTTTATGCTGTATTTGTTTAACTATGTAAAGATGTGTTGCACTTTTTTCACCTTGCCTGCCTAAGCCACCTGATTGGTCTAATAAAAACCTAAATGGCCAACAGCTAAGCAGGAGAAGGATAAGAAGGGCTGGAGAGCAGAGAGAAAAATAGGAAAAATCTAGGCTTGGAGAGAATGAGGGAGAGAGAGACACACAGGCCAGTCAGCCAGCCAGCCCCCAGACAAGAAAGAAGCAAGAAAAGTAGAACAGACAGACAAGAGGGAGGGAGGGAGGAAGGGAGGGAGGGAGGGGACAGAGGGAGAGAGGGAGGGGAAGAGGAAGAGAGGTAAAAAGCCCCAAGGCAAAATGTAGATGAAGAGAAATGGTAGTTATAAGAGGGACAAGCATAAGATAAGGCTGAGCATTCATAACTGATGAGAAGTCTCTGATTTGGGAGCTGGTTGGCAATTCAAGAAAGCCTGCTACAGAGTACCTTCCTATCCAGGCACTTCCCATTCCTCGAGGCCTTTAAATTCACTCCAGCACCATCAAGTCAGTTTCTGTTGTCTCTGCAATCATCTGCAGGCTTACACAAGGTGTCCTTACTTCCCAGCCACAGATTAAGGTGTTAGCAACTCCAACTAATTCTGCATCCCTCACTGATTCACTGAAATGCCTTTCTCTTTGATAAAACTGGTTGAAAACCCCAGACCCTGAATTTCCTGTAAACAACTTGTTATGCTTGCAGCTGCTCTGAGCAAAACAACTTGTTTTCCTGTGTTTGCATCTGCTCTAAAGACGAGACCCTCAGGAGTTCCTGAAGAGTTCCCTCCATGATAGACTTTATAAACTCTAGCTGAAATAAGTGACCCCCTAAGTAGTTTTTAGTTATGGTATCTTTTTAAAGAATCATTCATTCATTCATTTATTATTGTAGAGTGTTCTGACTGCATGTATCACTGCAGGCCAGAAGAGGACCCCAGATCTCATTACAGATGGTTGTGAACCACCATGTGGGTGCTGGGAGTTGAACTCAGGACCTCTGGAAGAGCAGCCAGTACCCTTACCAGTGAGCCATCTCTCCAGCCCTGGTTATGGTATCTTATTACAGTGATAGAAATCAAACTATGAAAACAATATATTAGTTACTTTTCTATTGTTGTGATGAACATCATGACCGAGGCAATTTACAGAAGAATTTACTTGGCTTTAGGATTCCAGTATTAAAGTCCACCATGGCAGGGAGGAGCGGCAGCAAACAGAAAACACGTGGCTGGAGCACAGCTAAGTGTTGTGTTCACATCCTCAACCACAATGACAAAGAACGAACCTGAAATGGTCAAAGTCTTTAAAATCTTAAAGCTCACCCCACCCGCAGTGGCATACTTCTTCTAGGAAGGCCACCCCTCCTAAGCTTCCCAAAACTGTGCTACTAACTGGGAGCCAAGTATTCAAATCCCAGAGCCTATGAGGGACATCCTCATTCAAATCACCCCAACACTCACACCAAGAAAAAAAGATAACTAAGCTAGTATTAATGCCAGATAAAAACTGTGACAAAGGCCAGACATGGTGGTTCATTTCTTTAATTCTAGCACACAGGAGACAGAGACAGATGGAGCTTTGTGAGTTCCAGGCCCATCATGGCTGCACAGTGAGTCTCTGTTATTAAAAACAAACAAACATAAAGGACCTAAGGGCCAGCGAGACAGCGTAGCAGTAAGTAAAGACACTTCCCACTAAGCAGAGTTCAATCTTTGGAAAAAAACCTACTCCCACAAGGTATTCTGTGACCTCCACATATAAAGTGTGCAACATAATAAATAAATGTAATAAAAATTAAAAAATAAGGGGAGATAATCTTTATGAACACTTATTTTTAAAAGACCTAAGGAAAAACATTGGCAAATACTCAGATCTCCACCTTCTCCTCAGTTCACAAGGTAACGGCAACAACTACCAAATTATGCACACCTATTA